AAAAAAAACTAACGAACGAATGTCAACGCTGGAATTTCTATTTTGTTAACTATTATGTTCTGTAGAAAAAGGATGAACGAGTATTTATGTCACGGTTACATGGCTGAGGAAATAGTGAAGGTAATGAGAACGCCCAGGGCTAAAAGACGTCTCGATGTGACAGAAAAAGATGATTTGTACAGTTTAATGGATAGCGACAACGTTACCGTTCACGATAAATTACTAGCAGACGAAGGAAGTTCAAAGTACAAAAACTGGTTGCAGCGGTAATTATCAAAATTGCAACTGTAATTAAATATATCGTGTATTAATTGATATATCGTCTATTAATTGAATTGAACTGCTATTAGTCACTGTGAATGTAAAATGGGTAAACGGAATTTATTTTTTACCAATTGCTTGTATCTTTAGATTTCCATTAAAGTTAAAAGAAGAAAGATATGTTTTTGTTACAGAAGGACAACTTTGGACGATGTTTATCGGCATTATATTCCGCAAAGGAAAATAAAGAAAAAGCACGGAGCTCACGACGAAAATTTCGAAGAGTTTGATGGAGAAGTCACGGGTTATGCGATGCAAGCTTCTTTACCTTCCGGTAAAGTTGGTTTCTACGGGGAACAGAACGAGGAAAATGGTAATAATGGCATTTATACAGTTCTAAAATGATCTGTCATCTCTTCGAAGCTCGTTAGTCGTGTTATGTTACTTCACGGACGCGAGATACTTTCGTATAACACGTGTTTTATAACAAATTATTATGGATATGTATATGTTTTGACGGTGTCTCAATACTGAAGGTTTGACCGAGAAGAGAATTTACATATAAAAAGAGATTTTACATATAAAAAAAATATTAAACTAAAGAATTTTACATATTAAAAATAAAGAATAAAAATTTTTCATTTTCGTTTAAGTTCATTATCGTTTCATTATCGTTTTGGAAAAAATCAAATTTATCGGATTTGTTTGAATTTCGTTAATTTTAGAATGTACAGGAATACGAAAATACGTGAAAAATATAAAACAAATTTTTTTTTCATTTTCAAGAAAACAGAATTTGAATATGTTTAGTTAAGAATTAGAGTTAGTATTAGTATTAGTAGACTTACTGTTGGTATTAGTATTAGTAGATTTAAATTGCGTTTTTTTTTTTTTTTTTTTCAAAAAAGCATCTTGTGAAAAAATTGTATTCTACATTTTTGATTTATTTTCACAAGTACAATAATTTCCTATTCGTTATTTACTCCTGACTAATTCACAATCAGCTAAATTCTAATGCAGTTGATAAATTTTCAAACTTGATTTTCTTAAAAATAAATAAAACGAAATTATTTTAAAATTATTAAAAAATTATTTAGTTTTAAATGAAAAAAAATTACTTTTTATTTTTTATTTATTTTTTCATGTGGCATTTTTGGTTGTGCCATCATATGTGCCATTAACATCTTATATAAAAGAAATAATTTTTAAGACTCAAAATTATACTAATTCGTTGATTATGATAAATATATACTGAAACACATACCTACAGGACAAATCTAAGTTGAGATATCCAAACTATATTTTTTAATTATATTGAAAAATGTTTTAGACAAGAATCAAATAAAGAATATTACTCGATATAATTAGCTGCAAGTGAATATAAAGGTATATGTAGGTTACATGTATTTCTTCAAATTGAATCATATGCGTGAAAAATTTAATTTTGCATCACTAATTTAGTACTATTTTAAGAAACGACATGAAATAAATATTTTATTATCCGTTATATATTCTTGTTTACGTCATTCTTGTCTCTAGATCGCTTTTAGTCTTTTCTTGTCTTATACATAAATCTTATAAAATTAAAATTAAAATATTGATCTTGCGACACAAATGAATTGATACTTTTTTAAAAAAGAATACTTGATGAATCTGACGTATTAATAGTACATTAAAAAATATATGGTTCTATCTAAAAAAATAATAAAATTGATCTTCATATATTCTCTACTCATTTCTAAACTGACTAATTACATTAAATTACTTCCTCCACGAAATAGTACAAAGGCTGTGTAAAAAATTTATAATTAACAATTTCGAAAATACTTGAACAATATTTGCAGTTATCAGGTGAATGCATTTGACGACTACTAATGTATTTGTTAACTTTCATCGACAATCATTTAAAGTGAAATTTTTTTTTTTTTTTTTGTTCTAATAGATCATATGCTTTCATCTTCGTCCGGCCACAATATTTTTTATGGTCCTGCTTACGATCCCGGTTATGGCCACGGCGGAGATCATTTCTTGCATCACACTGAAACTTTTCCCGCTGTACACGAGGAACACTATTATTCCGCTCCGATTTATCACGATCACGAAGAGGAATATCATAAGCCTTATTACAAAGGGAAAGGAAATGAACTTTCGATAAAGGACTTTTTCGAAATTGCTCTTACAGCTCTAGCGTTTTTAGCATTTGGATTATTCATAATACAGTTATTGATGAACGCTACGGTAAAATGTTGTTTGAATTCATTCACTTCTTCGCCATTGTCTTTTCATTTTGTCTCGTTTTTTCAACGTTTTTTTCTCACGTAGACTAACATGAACACTACCGTGACTACGATGACGACTGCGAAACGTCTTAAAAGAAATGTCGGCGGATTAACTTTATCGTACGACAGCTACGAGGAATTGAACGAAGTATCCTACAATGTTTTGAGAAGCATCGAAGCTGCTCTTGTCGCCGATATGGATTTTGGAAATTGTATCCGTAGAATTCTTTGTGAAAATAATCGACACTCCACACAAACTAAAGATGCGCGTAAAATTTGGATGCCTGTTTGGAGGTATAAATAATTAATTTTCAGTTATTATTATACGTATATGATCTGAAACATTCGATAATTTTTCAAAAACTAAAATTAATAGAAATAATTTTTCGAGTAAAGACTAAAGTCAGACCGAGCAATTAAAAAATTGACAAGAATAATTCCAATTATTCTCACACTTTCAAGTACAATTATTAAAGAAATTTGCGTACTATATACGTTCGATAAGTATGGTATTAACTTTCTTAGTTTAGGAATGAGTTGGGTGTCCGGCAGGATGTTGAAAAGATCTCCATGGTCGGCAATGTTGGATTCTGTAAAAGCTTCTATTCTTGGATTAGGTGGATTCGATTGTGCGCTCTCGTATCCTGACTGCGATCTCAAGAAGGAAAGGATCAAAAGACGCAGAAGACGCAGAAAGTAATTTCTCTGCTGTTTATTATCTTCCATATCATCATATTTTATTTATCGCGTTGTTTCTTTGAATCATCATGTTGAGATCAATTATGAAAATAAATATATATCTTCAAAAATGACATTCGTAAGACTCATTGTCAATATTATACTTGTTTGCACGTGTGTCTAATATGTGAGTTTTTTTTTTTATGACAACTGGCATGATATTACAATTTTAAGCGATAATATCATTGTTAGTGTTACTGTCCTCTTCGATTTGACTTGATAAGAAATCTCGTGGAATTGGCAAAAGCGAAGCGTACGTTGATCCTGATGGAGAAACGTGAAAAACACTTTTCTTTTGTCTTCCTTTCAGTGGACGTATATTCGATAACATGGGCATTCCTTTTTCATCATTTAAATTGCGAAATTCTGCAATCTTAGCAAATGTAACTAGTGTAGTAAAAATGTTTTGAATTTCCAACTTCGAAAACTAGAATCACGTTGAGGTTCAAGCCTTGAGGGTTAGAGCTCTCTGAGTTTGAACTTCAAGCTGTAAATGTTCGAGTGCCTACCGCTCGAATTTTTAAACTTCGAGTTGTCTAGATTGTATATAATGATGATTGTAGACAATATCATACATTGTGCAATATCATAAATATTAAGATAATATTGTTTACTTCACTGTCAACGTCAAAAAGTTTAAGAGCCGAGTCTTAAAGCTTCAATTTTAAAGCTAAAAACTTGGTCTTTAAGGCTGAGCATTGAAACTTTGAAGACTCGAGTTCTATACAACACTATGAATATTCCGGATGCATCGGGGATCATACGATAATCGATATTAATATACACGATTTACTTGTTTTACAGAAATTCCAATCGGTTCTCTGCAGATTATCCAAAGAATATTATGTATATTTTGTGCCGTTGTTATTGAACCCCAATATAAAAAGTAATCTTGTGAGAAAGGTCGTAAAATGTTCGTTAATTTTGAAGGAGTTATGCGAACTGATGAATGCGCGGTACGAATAAGAGCCAAGTTATTTACGATATCATCCATAAATTCATTTGGTTTATCCTGTAACTAAGAACCATCGTATTATTACCATGTAACTATAAATTTTTGGTTATTATAAATTGATATGTTTTT